GGCTGATGGGCCAGACCCAGCATCCCAAGTGGCCTGAGGCTCCTGCCATTCTTTTTCACCCTCACCCTCCAGCTTCTCTTTGGCTAGGAGCTTTTCCAGGCCAGGAACTTCCAGGCTGTTCTCTGAGGCCTAGGACCTACTTGCTGGCCCTCTTCTCTCTACTTCTCAGGTTAGGGCTCCAGTGGTGGAGGAGGAAGCAGTGACCTGCAGCAGCCCACTGCAGTCCACTCGGACATTCCAGCAGTGGTGGGAGCAGAGAGGACCCCAGGAACTCTGAATGACAGGACTGTCCTGGTTAGGAGAGGAGGGTCCTTCCTGGAGTGGAGTGGCCCCGGCCCTGGAATAGGCTCAGGGACCTGGCTCCTGGTTCCAAAGGTTTCTCTCACTTCTGTCCCTCTCCCTCTTGTTCCCTTGATGGAATTGATGCTTTCTAAACTCTGCCCCAGCCTCTTTGCCTGCCTCTCTCACATCTGTAACTGTATCCTTGTGAATTGCAGAATCCGAAGACACTGACCAGGCTGTCTTGTCCAGCCAGTGCGCTGACCCTGACAGGTCCTATTTTGGGAATGAGTCAGAGAGAGGGAGAGGCTATAGCTTCCAGGGCACCAGTTCCCTTCTACCTGTTCCCCGACCGTTCCACCCCGAAAGTTCTTCTTAATGTCTGACCCATCTGTATTTATCCTTTAATTAGTGGATGTAGAAAATAGCTCACTTTCACAGAGTCGCCAAATTAATCTCCCTTTTTCTCTCTTCCTCTTTCCTCTCTCTGTTTTATATTTCCTATGAAAGAAACTAACCCTCCCCTTATTCCACTGGGAAAAGCACCACCCAATCCCACCCCATTCCCCCATCTCATCTTGCCTTTCACCACCACCCCCTTCCTTATAGAAACAGGAACCATGGGCCTAAGATAGCCTCATATCTGGCCCCACAGGGAGACAGGGAAAAGACAAGGCTCCTTCCTGAAACCTGGGTTTTCCAGCTGTGACCCCCACCCCAAGCTGGGCTTGGCCACCCTTTCCCATCCCATCTTTATCTGGGGCCCTCACGCTTTGTGGGCAGTCCTGTTGCTGGTCCCTGCCAAGCTCAGGGTGCGGTGGGGATGGGGGTGGGGTGGTCATCCAGTCCCACCCTCCAGGCCTCCTGCCTTGGCAGCTTCCCTGGAGGAAGACAATGGGGCTGTGAGCAGAAAAGGGCAGGGGCAAAAGGAGGCTGGCTCAATCTGGGCCAGAGCATGCCCTGAGCCCACCAGAGTCCTGGCACTGTGACACTTCCTGGGAGGTGCCAGCCCCCTCCTGCCCAGCTCTCATCAGAAGCCAGGAGTTGGTGGGGGGAGGTCAGTGGGAGGCTTGATCACCAGGGCTCAGTGAGCGGGATTCAAATGTGTACTTTGATGAAGAAATGCAGCTGTGGAGGGGATGAGGCCAGGGCGGGGCAGGCAGCCAGGCCTGGGTCAGGCTGGCAGCAGGGCACCCAGCCAGCCAGAGCAGGAGGCACTCGGGGAACAGAAGCCTGTCCCTGGGGACTGGGTAAGAGTCCTCTAGCCTGCGCCCTCCTTCCTGCCTGCAGTGGGATGGGAGGAGACCTTAGGTGCTGCCTGGACTGCCTGAGGAAGGGAAAGGTTGCTGGGAGGGTTCTCCCGTTTTCCACCTGGCCTCTTAGGCTGGTTCCTCCAGCTCTGAGCCCTCCATTTAATTCGGAAATTAGACCGAGAAACGACTTAGAGATCATCTGGCCCCATATTGTCACTTACAGTAAAAAGTCCAGCAAAGTCCAAGGATAGGAGATGGCCAGAGGCCACACAGAATGTATGCAGCTGAGAGTGGGAGCCAGGAGCCTACCTCCTGCTGAGGATCTCACCCTGGGTGCCATTGGGGGTGGGAGTCAGGAAAGGGGTACTGAGCTTCCCCCATCTCTGCCCCCACCTAAGTATGGGAGAGCAGAAGGCACAGATTGAACTCAGGGGATCCAGTAGGAGGTTCAATGTGTCTACCCTTTGGCCTCCCACAGCCCTGATCAATAGGAAGCCCTCTTGTATGGTGAAGTCCATGCAAGAGGAATGGGAAGGAGAGAAGTGTGAGGAGGTGGGAAGGGCAATGTCCAGGACAGGGCACAGGGAACCAAACTGGGGTGGGGTGGGGAGGGGTGGTGGAATAGGGTGGCTGGTGGGTGGTGGGGAGGCATGGGTTAATGGAACTGGGGCATCACTGACTTTGATGTGGTGGTTGGGGTGGGAGTAGGGACTGGGGGAGGGGGAGCAGTAATTAGGGAGTTAGACAGAGCAGGACAGGACAGGCGGGCGGGCACAGGCCCGGGCCCAGCCGCCTCCGCAGCCGTCAGGCAACATTTTTCTGCCCCTTCTCCACCACCCACCTCCCCCACCCCCGTGCAGCCCCCACCCACAGCCCCAGGGTTCAGGGCTCCCTCTGCTGGCTCCTGGAGGTGAGGGTCAGATGAGGGACCCTGGAAGGGGGTGGGGGGAAATAGAGAAAATAGAGAGCTGGCTGTGAAACCTTTCAGAGGAGGCTGGGCATCAAAAGGGTCTGTGATCCCCTTGGCCTCAATAATCCACCCAGGAGTGCTCATCGGGGAAGGGGGGTGGGAGTCCTGGAGGGTCCTCTGGTCCATGGGCAGGGCTGGTAGGGGAGGAGACACAGGCTGAGAAGTGTAAGTTGGAGAAGAGAGAGTTCTCAGGATCCACAGACACTGCCTGCTCTCCTACTGTTTGCCCTGCACTGAGCAGGCCAAGAGATAAATAAGGGTGTGAATAGCAAGACAAAAATCACTTGTGGAAGCCCACTCTCTGGACAGGCTCTTTTCACAGATCACCTGGGAAGTGGGCAGGTGTTACTATTTGCTTCCATTTCACAGTTGCAGAAACCAGCTCAGAAGGTTAAGTCTCAGCAGCCATTCAGCAAATACTAAATGCCAACTTCACATGCTAGGGATTTGCTCCACGTCATAGAATAAGCAAGCAGCAGAGCCCAGATCCAACCCCATGTCTGCGGGATCCCCAAAGCCCTGCATGCACTCTGCCACTGATATTATGCTTCCTCATGAGATCTTTGTCTTTAATGAGTTTCCTATCTAATTGGAGAGACAGACAAGAAAACATGACAAAATAATTATGCCACTGGCAAGATAACAAGCACCTGCCCCTCTCCCCCAAATGAGTGACAGGCAGAATGATGTAGAGGGAGGCATGGGGCCCAGAGGAGGCACCTTAGGGCAAGTGGTATCTAAGGTGAGCTTGGAGAGATGTTGGGGAAGATTTTCATGACTTAGGGGGTACAGAGGGGCTGGCTCTGAGTCCAGAAATTTAGCAGTAGAATCTGGGATGGCTGCAGAGTTACCCAATCCTGCTAGGAGTAAGGGCTGTGTGGAGGGTGGCATGTGAGGCTACCTAATGTCTTCTGATACCTTTGGTGGCTGTTTCCCTCTGGCCCTTTGGTTTTTAAAATATTTACCTAAGTTTCTTGCAATGAGACCCCCCCCCCACACACACACACACACACGCTGAGTGGTCGGCGTTGGTCACCTCCCTTCTCAGATTGTGCGTCTGTATAATGGAGGTCAGGTTGGTGGAGCTGGATTGCATGACCTTGGGCATTCTCTTAGGCCCTGTGAATCTGGAAAAGGAAAGGTAGAGCAGGCCAGGACTCCGGGCCCCCAGAGCGGGATCTACAGATGTTGTGCCCTGGGAGGAAGATTTTGGCGCAGGCCAAGCCAGTTAGAATGGCTAACCCTAGGCTTGTCCCTTCTTGTCTGCATACTGATTTCTTTTAAAACTAGCCTCATTGTTTCTATGCCCAGGAATGTCTACTTGATTAGGATCACAGACCCTACATATTCTATATTTCATATTTCTTACCACCTTGTGTTCCAGCCCCCAAAACATGCAGATGTTCCCAAAAGGGCACAGCTTCTGTGGGCTGATCCCAGGACAATGCTGACTCAGAGCATGAATAGCAGAGTTCATTCCCTAAGGAAGCAGAAGGGAAGGAAGGAGGGTAAAGGAAGAGGAGAGATGGGGGAGTTATTTTTTGATGTGGAGTCAAGTGTTAAAGTTAGAGGGGGTATGCGAGCCTTTCATGTGAGCTCCTCATGTTTCTGAAACCCAGAGAGGGAACAGACTTGCCCAGAGTGGCTCAGCTCACCCCGAGCTGACAGAGACCAGGGTATTGAAGTGAGGCTTGGTGTTTTGCCCAATGCTGCCCTGCCACTCATTTTCTGGAGTTCCCTTTCCTGTGACTTTAGGATGGGAGCAAGAACAGGAGGGCAGGGAGCAAACTGGTCCCTTGGGATTCTGGCCGCTACTACTGCCCATCCCTTCTCCTGACCAGCTTGTAAACAAGTCTAGTTCCCAGGCAGCCAGGAATCCTTCTGAGTCTTCTATCTCTAGCCCCTGGGAAACAGATAAGGTCAAGAGATTTCTGCCTTTCTCCCCTGCATACCCCCTCCATCCCCTGGGACAGGAGGAGGGAGAAGAGAGGGATGGGGCAGAGTAACCTTGGGAAGATAAGGCCAGTCGACCTTGGGAAAGTAGGGAGTTAGCAGAGGACAGGGCTGGGGAGGAGAACTGGGGAACTTAGTGGCATGGGGGAGTGTTGAGTGTGTAGAGCCCCAGACTCCTAGGTGGAGGCCTGGACATGTGGTGGCAGGAGAGGACCTGGACAGCCTGGGGAGGCCTGCTTCCCTGCCTCTGAATCCAGGGGGAGAAATAAAATGTTTATGGAAAGCAATTAGGAGTCATAAAATGACATGTGGACAGGGGCTGGGCTCAAGTAAGGATTTTTCTCCTTAGATGGCTCATTTATTCACTCAAAAACATGTATTAAATGGTTTTCATTGTATTATTATAGTAATTGTTCATAATATGCAAAATTTTCATTAAAATCGAGGGGAAATATGAATTAAGCACCTTAAAATCTGCCTAGGAGACAAAAGAAAATGACACTTCTAGCTCTCAAGGTGCTTATAGTCTTATCTGCTGACCCGATATGACCTTACTGGAAGCTGCCTCAAATTCTTTTTGTAATGGGGTGAAATAAGTGGCTGGAGGTGAGGATAGATAGATAAATAGAGGTCAACTCTTTTTAAAATTAAAAAAATGTTTTTATGGATTTCAGAGATGAAGGAAGAGAGAGATAGAAACACACCTCACACTGGGGATTCGAGCCTACAAACCAGGCATGTGCCCTGATCAGGAATCAAACTGTGACCTCCTGGTTCATGGGTCAACACACTCAACCACTGAGCCACACTGGGCAGTAGAAATCAATTCTTGAAGCACCTAAAATTCTTGAAGGTCACTGAGCCACTGGGAGCCAGCTTGGCTGCCCTACCCTTGGCCTGCTCCATCCATCACTTCTCTAGGGTTGGGAAAGGATTGGGGCTAGACCTTCCCAGGCTACAGTGGGAATGCAGTGATGGGCAGGTCCTAAGCATGGAGGAGGGAAGGTCTGGACCAGCGATTGTCAACCTTTTTCATCTCATGGCACACATAAACTAATTACTAAAGTTCTGCAGCACACCAAAAATGTGTCAATCTGACCCAAAAAATTAGGTATAATTTTGATTCATTCACACCAGACAACTATTGTTGTGTTGGCTGTGTCATTTTTTTTGTTGTTTAATAATCTAAGGGAAAAGAGGTCAGTGCTACGGCTCAATAGTCAGGTATTGCATGTTTTAAAAATTCTTACGGCACACAGGTTGAAAAATCGCTGGTCTGGACTGTAAGTCTCTCCACTGAGGAGAGAACGCTGGCTCCTGGACTACTTGGAAAAGGATGATAACAATGATCTGTCGGGTGGTGTGTGTGTGTGTGTGTGTGTGTGTGTGTGTGTGTGTGTGTTACCTTAAAGGACTTACACATCTTCCTGCAACCACCTCTTCTTCAAGCATCTCACTCCTTAGTGTTAAGTTCTATCTTAAGACCTAAATTCCTCTTGCTGCTATTTAAGCCCATTACATTTCATTGTTGTTGGGCCAGAACATGCCTGGGAAGCCTGTACTTGTGGAGCAAATGGGGACAGTGGGGGTGGAGTACACTGAAGCTAAACTGAAAAGAGGCCACCTTGACCTTTGGCACCTATCTACCACTATTTTCCTCTACATTTTCTGTTTCCTGATGCCACTTTTCTCTCCCCGCCCAGACAGTCTTTTTCTGCCCTCTGTGAAGGGTTTTTGAGTGGTCTCAAATTACCCTCAGCTCCCAAGTGCTCAACTCACTCATTCCTACAAGACAGGCATACCAGTTAAGCATTCAAATAAGAGCAATCTGATGAAAGCCCTTTCACCCAGGTGTGAATACCCAGCCACGTTAACCTTCACGGGCCTGGTGTGGAGACCACATGGTAGAATGAAGGCTGGGAATGTGTGTGGGAGCCAGCATGGTGGTGGGAATGGAGGGATTTCTGAAAGTGTGTGGAGCTTCCCATGAGGTCTTTACCCGCCCTCTCAGGGTCCCCCTTCTCCAATCAGTTATGTCACCCCAGTGCATAGGGCTTGGCTTGCTGCCCTGCTGCTCTGGAAAGGCCACAGTTCCTGGAGTAGGAGAAGGGTCACTGTCACCTGCTTCACGGTGCTTCAGAGACTCAGCCCCCAACTCCTTCTTCAGGGAAATAGAGGATCTCAGGGTGGGAGGGCCCACCTTAGAGATCAAAGCCCATCCTTCCCATTGTACAGAATGAGAAACTTGGGCTGGAGAGGGAGTGTGACTTCCCTCAGAGGCTCCATTCCCCAGCCATTCTAACATCAGATGGCTTTCTATATCCCTTGGAATTGCCCATGCCTTTCTAGCATCAGGACTGTTCAGCTGACACATATCCAGCTTGTGGTCCACTAAGACCAGTTCTTTTCTGATCTTTTTCTAAAATCTTTTTCTTTTCTTTGACAACCTTCTTGATCTTCCTTCTGTTAATTTCTTCCTTGTCTCCTTTTGGGCGAGGCCTGTTGAATTTTAGTCTTGGCCTACCTGCTGCCAGCTGCCTTCACCTTGAGTCAAATTATATAAGGATTTATTAGTAAAAATGTGCATAGAAGGACAAGAGTGAATTCTTGCTCTACAGTGATTTCAGTCTAGACTCTAGTTAAAAGGGAACACAGACATGGATGGAATGGCAGGGGAACCAGATAGGAGAATCTCAATGTTAGGTGGTGGTGGTGGGAGGCGTATCCCGGCTCCTGGGCTGTGGGCTGAGGGGGAGGGGTGTTGGTCTCCCTGGCTGAGGGGGGGCGGGGTGTTTGGTCTTCTCTTCCCTTTCTGTCACCCCAAACCCTTGGAGTTACACCCCTGACTTGCTGTGTTTTGCTTCCCCAGGGCAGTGGGCAGCACCTTGGTCATGGGATCCCACCAGTATCTGCAGGAAAGCACGGAGGCTGGCAGGGCGGCAGGCTGAGCTGTGCCAGGAGGAGCCGGAAGTGGTGGCTGAGCTGGCGCGGGGTGCCCGGCTTGGGGTTCGAGAGTGCCAGTTCCAGTTCCGTTTCCGCCGCTGGAACTGCTCCAGCCACAGCAAGGCCTTTGGGCGCATCCTGCAGCAGGGTCAGTGTGAGGAGGGAACCTCCAGGCTCAGAGGAGAGGGTGGAGGTTTGGGGAGGCTGCCGGAGCCCCACCTCTCCCACAAATCTTTGGGCACCCTGCCCCGACCCTGTCTTCCAGCCCCACCTCACTGCCCTGCCCACTGCAGTCCCCTAGGACTCAGCTTTGATGCTGTGCTGACTGCTCCTCCCTGTCCCCACAGACATCCGGGAGACCGCCTTCGTCTTTGCCATCACGGCGGCAGGCGCCAGCCATGCAGTCACACAGGCCTGCTCCATGGGCGAGCTGCTGCAGTGTGGCTGCCAGGCACCCCACAGGCGGGCCACACCGCGGCCCCCTGGCCTGCCAGGCACCCTTGGGCCCCCTGGCCTTGTGGGCTCCCCAGAGGGCAGTGCAGCCTGGGAGTGGGGAGGCTGTGGGGACGATGTGGACTTCGGGGACAAGAAGTCCAGGCTCTTTATGGACGCGAGGCATAAGCGGGGAAGTGGAGACATCCGAGCGTTGGTGCAACTTCACAACAATGAGGCGGGCCGGCAGGTGAGTATGGGCAGGGTTGTGTGAGAGGGTGTGTGCGCACAAATGTGGAAGCGAGTATTTGTGTCAGTGGATGTGGGACAGTGGTGTGGTGGGTGGATGTAGGACAGTGTGGTGAATGTGTAGGAGCACTTTGTGGAAGTGAGAAGTGAGGGTGTGAGAGAGGGTGTGTATGTGCAGGAGTATGTTAACGTGTGTGGGAACTAGTGTGGTGGTGGGGGGCCACTTGGGAAGATTGGTTGGGGGGCTGGGAGAGCCTGGGGCAGGTTGTCACCCAGGGAAGAGGACTCGGTTGAGGCTTTTAGGGACCCCAGGTAGAGAGGGCATTCCTCTGAAGCAGGACAGGTGGGGTAAAGCTTGGGGGTGGTTAGAGATGTGGCTGCCAGGGCAGGGACAAGAGGATGGAGACAAAGGTCTTGAGGTAGGGGAACCAGGAGGTGGGAGGGAGACCTGGAAAGGGGCTAGACCAAGGGGCAATGGGCTAGATCCTGGTGGAGGCAGGAGGGGGTCAGGCAGAGGCCAGGAAGCTGTGACTGAATCTGGGCTCTTGTCAACTGGCCTCCCAGCAACCCTAGACCAGGCCCTGCCCAGATCGGGCAGCCTCTCCCCTTCCCTCTGCAAGGAGGAGGCCCAGGAGCTTGTTTAGGGACAAGAAAGCTGTCTGGGCCAGATGTCTCCAAGGGGAAGGACAGAACCTGGGAGGGGGAGGGACACAAGTGTCTATAATCAGATTGGTCCCTAGACTCTGAGATTCCAGAGATGATCTTCCTGGGGCTTTTGGCCCCATAAATCTCTAGTGGGGTTGTGACTCTTAGACACAAACAGCAAATAGAGGGCAGGACGCCCAGGTTCCAGTTCTCACTAGTGCGTCCACAGCGGACCCCTGCCTCAGTTCTAGGGTGCTCTAGGGGCATCCCCACACATATCCTGTATTTTCTAGAGTTTGGGGCTGAGTGAGGCATGGGCAGGGGGTAAGAAGGGGCCCAGAGAGGTATGTCCTGACAGGCCCACATACCTGTCAGAGAGGGTTGGGGAGGGATGGTGGAGACAGACGCCCAAGGGGCGGGCTGTGCGCCTCTGCTCAGCCCTGCCTGGTGCCTTGAGGGTTGGCAGGAGGGAGAAGGTGCGACAGCTACCACCACTACCTCCCCTGCTCCAGGGAGATTCTCACCTGCGCAGTCCATTCTACTTTCTCCCCATTCTCTGGCTTTGGATCCCAGAATCCCTGCGCTGCATTCTTTCCCCCACTCCCCACTTCTACCTCTCCATCATTGTCATTCTTACCCTCCACCCTTGATTCCTCACCTTGCGCTCTCATTTTTTTTTTTTTTTTTGGTCTGCTCTTTCCTCTCTGCCATTCTCCCTCCCACCCCCCACGCTTATTTTCTGTCTGTGGGGCCTCTGGCCCTTTCCGCGACCCGCACCCCACATTTGTCTCCATCCGCCGGCTCTCTGCTCCCTGCAGGCGGTGCGGAGCCATACGCGCACTGAATGCAAGTGCCACGGGCTGTCGGGCTCATGCGCTCTGCGCACCTGCTGGCAGAAGCTGCCCCCGTTCCGAGAGGTGGGCGCGGAGCTGCTCGAGCGCTTCCACGGCGCCTCGCGTGTCATGGGCACCAACGATGGCAAGGCTCTGCTGCCCGCGGTCCGCAATCTCAAGCCGCCGAGTCGCTCTGACCTACTCTATGTCGCCGACTCGCCCGACTTCTGCGCCCCCAACCGGCGCACGGGCTCTCCAGGCACGCGCGGCCGCGCCTGCAACAGCAGCGCCTTGGACCTCAGCGGCTGCGACCTGCTGTGCTGCGGCCGCGGGCACCGCGAGGAGAGCGTGCAGCTCGAGGAGAACTGCCTGTGCCGCTTCCACTGGTGCTGCGTGGTGCAGTGCCACCAGTGCCTCGTGCGCAAGGAGCTCAGCCTCTGCCTCTGACCTGCCGCGGGCCTCTCCCAAGGCGCGCAGCGCTGCCTCCTCTACCTGTGTGACTTCTGGCCTCCAGCAGG